CGCCGTTGAACCTGCAACCAAGCCCCTGCCCCTGGGGTTAGAAAATCACCGAAAGTCAACGCTGGTAGTCTTACCTTGGGTATCGTCCCTCGCCATGGCCTAGACGAAGTACGGCGAAGCACCATCCGCCGGATCACCTCCTTGTGATCAGTTGCTGCAAGGCCGTCTCTCGCTGGATCAGACGCCGGCACCAGAGTCTCGACCACCAGCTTTAAGTCATCTTCGTCGTAACCCTGGTTCAACAGCTCGCAAATCATCGTCGAATGTGATCCATCCAACTCCGGTGAACTTGGCAGCTCCGCCGTGGACGGAGTCGACGGCGACCCTTCCTCATCCTCACTGCCTTCCCCCTCATCTCCCTCTTCGGCCAACGCCCAGAACCGGCCTCCCACCCGCCGATCTAGCGGCAGGCGGGTTGCCGGCGGCATCCCAGTGAACGCCTAAGGAGTCGCCTACTGATAAATCGTTTTCACCTGATACCCCTTCACGTGATTTGTTGCTTCCAATATTTACTTTAACAACAGTGACACCAATTTGCATTTTATATACAATATGTTTTCGCTCTACACACAATGCATTGCCATCGATCATTGTTACCTGATGGCATGCATGCTCTCTACGTGGTCCTTATGCATGCTTAGACTTTTGATCCTTTCCAATCTATACCACTTCTCTCTGTCTTTTTTCATTGCTGTAAACTTTTGACCGCTGATCCATACGTGCATGCATGGTTATAAAACTATGCACCCGATGCATGTACTTAGATCCATGGCATGTTACACTAAAATTGCTGGCCTGATTTTACACAATTTCATAGTAATCTACACCGCTGCGATCTGATTTTACCAAAATAAATGCTTTGAGTAGATACTTTCTTCTGGTGCATAAACACTGTTATAGTACATGCATCAAAATAACCTGCGTAGCGTTTCCTGTTACTCTGAAATACATCAAAATATGTGGTGTAGATATTCTATTTTTTATAGAAGCAATCGAAGCTGTTATCATGTTGGCCATTAGAAGTAAACGATGTGAACCTTTCTTTCTTAACGCTCTGCGTACTAGTATCGCTATTGAATCTGCAGAAAGTATTTCTATATTGTTCGGTCGAGATCTACTGACAGTTTTTGTTGCGCTTTTCTTGCGTTTCTTTGCGTTTGATGTGTAGTTTTGAGATGCATGGTTTTTTATTTTTTCCAGAACTTGATCAGTTTGACATTACTATTCATTTGCACTTTGCTCAAATTTGTAAGAGAAGTAGCCTGAAGTTGATGTGTAGTACAAATTGAGATGCATGACGTTTCGTAATTCGACTCCTAAGCTGATTCAAGCATGAGGGATCTGAATTTTCACGAGGAGTATGCCTTAATCGAGATGCATAGGTGACTTTCCCCTATTCGATTCCTAAGCTGATTTAAGCGTACAGGCTCTTATTTTGAGAGAAGCACGCGTATGGGATTCTGATTCAGATGTACATAAGTTCTTTCCTAGTTTTATCTTACAGTTCTATACCAAGCACTATTGTCAGTTGAAATTGGTCTATGGTTTTGTGCGTGTGCGTCCATCTGAACGTCTTAGTTTTTGTTGTTAAGTTGATCTTGATAAATCTCTGTTGTCCGTTAAACGTAAGATATTGTAGGGATATAGATGGCGGCAAGGACTTGTCTTGCACCATAGATAGAGTCCGGACTTGTCTTGCGCCATAGATAGAGTCTTTTTTCTGTTTAACTCTTCTATCCCTATCTCTCTCTGTAATATCTCTGGTTGGTTGAATCCCAACCGAATCCCTTTGTACCCCTCGCGAGACACCCCTCGCTCGATCAATATAACCTGCGGGCTCTCCCTGTTGGAGAGTTGAGACGCTTCCATATCTTCCTTCATGGTATACAGAGCAGGCCCTTCCATCACATCTAGCTAGCTTCCATCAATCTCCCATCACCTCCCTCCCATCATGTCGTCCTCCACCACCCCCGTCACCTCCAGCCTCAACTACAACACCTCCGAGCCCCTCTCCCAGACGAACTATGTCCTCTGGAGAGCTCAAGCGCGATCCCAGATAATGGGCGCCGGCTTGTTTGGCTATTTAGATCAAACCCTAGAGGAGCCTCCCAAAACCATCTCCGCCAAAGACAAAGACGACAAGGACCAGGTGATTCCAAACCCTGCCTATGCCACCTGGCTGATCCAGGATCAACAAATCGTTGCTTATCTCCTCCGCAACCTGTCCAAAGAAGTTCTTGTCCAAGTTGCCTCGCTTGAATCCTCCCATGCGATATGGGCTGCATTGGCGACTATGTTCTCTGCCGTCTCGTTGTCCCGTGTCAACAACATCCGATTTGCGCTAACCAACGCGCAGAAAGGTACTCAGTCGGCCTCGGCATACTTCGGGCACATGCGCTCCCTCTCCGATGAGCTCGCGGCGGCGGGCAAACCACTCGGGGAGGGGGAGCTCATCTCTTTCATTGTCGCGGGCCTGGACATGGACTACCAACCAATCATCTCTGCCCTCGACGTGCGCACTGAACATGTCACCATCGACGCGCTCTTCTCCATGGTGGCAAACTTCGATCAGCGGATCGAGATGTTCCATGGCGGTGGTGCTGGTGGCTTCAAGTCATCGGCAAACACTGCTTCTCAGGGCCGTCCGAACACCGGCAAGGGTGGCTACCGCAACCAGAAGGGCGGCAGTGATGGTGGCTCCCGCGGAAACGGCGGTGGCTATGGTGCTTCCGGTGGCGGCAACTACGGCACCGGTGGAGGTGGCTACAACGGCATCGCTGGCGGCTACCACTCGAGCGGCGGCTCTGGTGGTGGCTACCATCAGAACAATGGAGGAGGAGGCCACTATGGTGGTGGTGGTGGCGGCCACTATCATCAGAACCCCTCTGGTGGCGGCAACAACACTCGGCGCCCTCCCAACAACAACACCAGAGGGCGTCACTTCCAAGGGTATGATGGTTATGAGGGACGTTGCCAAATTTGTAAGAAAACAAATCATCTTGCAAAGGACTGTGATTGGTGCTATGCCGATGATCCTAACTCCCAAAGCAAGAAAATTGTAGCTGCAGCTGATGTGTCCTATGGTGTCGATACCAATTGGTATATGGACACAGGCGCCACAAATCATATCACTGGTGAATTGGAGAAGCTGACAATGCATGAAAAATACCGTGGCCATGATCAAGTCTACACCGCCGCAAATGGTGCAGGTATGGAGATAAGTCATATTGGTCACTCATTTATCAAAACCCCACAAAAAAATCTTGAGCTCAATGAAATCTTGCACGTTCCCAATGCTTCCAAAACCTTGTTATCTGTTCATTGTATTGCTCTTGACAACAATGTGTTTCTAGAGTTTCACCCATTCTTTTTTTTGATCAAGGATCAGGTCACGAAGAAAGTACTTCATAGAGGTGTTTGTGTGCAAGGCCTCTACTCTTTGCTTCCGCAGTATTGCCGATACAATAAACAAGCCTATGATGCCATCAAGCTTTCTACTGAACGGTGGCACAATCGCTTAGGACATCCTTCGTTTGCTACTGTTCATCGTATTCTTAATAATAATAATCTCCCAGTTGTTGGTGAGAGAAACTCAGAAACAATTTGTGATTCCTGTCAACGTGCTAAAAGTCATCAATTACCATATCCTGTGTCTATTAGTGTCTCTACAAAACCTTTGCAACTTATCTTTTCTAATGTATGGGGTCCAACGCCCACCTCTGTTGGTAGACACCAATACTATGTAAGCTTTATTGATGACTTTAGCAAATATACGTGGATTTATCTTCTTAAGAAACGTTCTGACGTGTTTCAAGTGTTCCACAACTTTCAAGCTCTTGTAGAGCGAAAATTCGATAGTAAAATCATCGTTGTACAGTCCGACTGGGGTGGTGAGTATGAGAAACTCAACTATTTTTTTTAAAAGATAGGTATCTCTCACCATGTTTCATGCCCACATGCAAAATCAGCAGAATGGCTCAGAATGGCTCTGCTGAACGAAAGCATCGACATATTGTCGAAGTAGGCTTGGCCCTATTAGCCTCTGCCTCCATGCCTTTCAAATTTTGGGATGAGGCTTTTCTCACCGCTGTTCATCTTATTAACATGTGGCCCAGTCGCACTATTTCTCATGAAACTCCCACTGAACGTCTTCTCCATATCACACCAGATTACACCGCCCTTCGTGTTTTTGGTTGCGCCTGCTGGCCAAATCTTCGTCCATGCAATACTCATGTCATGTTGGTTTAACAATAATAGATAGATTCCTATCATTGCATTTTTCTTATTTTTGTCATCACTCGAAATTCCGCTCTTGGACGATAATAGATTGCAGAGGGTTTACCAGTAGGACAATTTCAGCAAAATGCACGTAATTTGTTTTTTTACTTTTAGAGAGGGCATGACGCTAGGTGTGAAATG